TGGTTACTGGGAAAACAACTGGAGAGGGCAGAACAACCTTAGGAAGTTCTTCCCAGCATCTAATGGGTGTAGGTAATTTTAAGAATTAACCATCATCTTCTATGTATATATGCTATTACTTATGCTCAGCCTTTATTTTTTACACAATTTAGTTTTGTTTCAAGTCTAAATCTTTGTTTTTAGACTAAAAAAGGATTCATAGGGAGTAATCCCATGTACCTGTAACGCTCACCATGAATTTGGGTGTGTTGACAGGTACACAGAAGGGATGTGATAAAAGAACTGGGAAGGAGGCACTCGCCTTCTATCAGGGTTCCAGTAGGGTCTCAGAAAGGTTGCCAAGACTAATGTGGGTTTTCAGTGGAAGTACTCTTCCACAATAAAATGCCAATCTTATTCCTATTATGTATCCTGTTATAGTTTTGTAACAAGAACCAGTAATTATTCCTAGTGCATGAACTGGCTTTTTGGAAGCCATTCCCTATTGAGGGATGCTTGGCTCAGCCTAGATACAAGGGGGGAAGGCTTTGGTCCTGCTCCAAATGATATGACAGACTTTGATGATTCTCCATGGGAGGTCTCACTCTCTCTGAGGCGTAGATTGCAGGTAGGGCTGTGAGATGGTAGGGGAGTGGGGGGAAAGGAGGGAGAGGGAACTGGGATTGGTATGTAAAATAAGATTATTTTAAAATAAAAATAAATTGATTAAGGTGAGTTTCCTTGAGAACTCATGCATAGACACCAACCTAGAGAAGAAGGAAGGCTTGAAAGTCAAATAGGATTGAGATTCCAGGGCTATGAGGAGCTCCTTGTAGACACCACATATTTATTGGCTGGCAATGTCCTTATATATACTGAACCAATCTTTTAAGAACATGATGCTGGCCGGGCGTTGGTGGCACACGCCTTTAATCCCAGCACTCGGGAGGCAGAGGCAGGTGGATCTCTGTGAGTTCGAGGCCAGCCTGGTCTCCAGAGCGAGTGCCAGGATAGGCTCCAAAGCTACACAGAGAAACCCTGTCTTGAAAAACCAAAAACCAAACCAAACCAAACCAAACCAAACCAAACCAAACCAAAACAAAACAAAAACATGATGCTGGCCAGAAGTACTGCTGGAATGATTGGGAGACATGTGGGTTATCCTTTCATGTCCTCTTTCTCTATTTTGGATGCACAGGCTGATTATTATTTGAGATGGATGAACTTTTTTTCTCTTCTTAGCACCATGAGAGTCCCCAGACCTCACTTAGCTTTTTAATTTCTTACCACAGTTTAAGAGTTCCATCATATCCCTGGGTAGGAAAATGCTTTGGGGACAAAGAAAATTGTGTGCAAAATGTCAATCATTTTTCTGAAATTCCCTAAGTTGCTCCCTTTTTTTTTAGACTACTATTTCATCTGCATCTGAAAACTGCTGTCAAGATCAAAGGACAGAGAAAAAGAAGAGTTCACTCCAAGGCACACTCATTTGCTTGGAGAACTTGTTACTTGAATTTGATTAAATTGGCTTAGTTAATTTCCCTTCATGTGGAGGAATGCATGTGTGACTAAGGTCTTATGAATGCCTGAACTTGTGGCATGTGAATCCTACATCTATATGGTGTATACTACTTAATACAGAAGTCATCTTCCCAATTGGTAAATGTATGCAGAATGGGCTAAAGGTGACATATGCATCAAGTGTGGACAGAGAACACAGGAGCATGGTGTCCATTTGAGACTCACCTCTCTCTCAAAGTGTGCTGTTAAAGATACGTGTTGCCTCAGTATAAACAAATGCAGAGGCAGTGGCCAGGAACATTTTCCTCTATAAGCTACCACATCCCCACATAAAATCAATTCTTGTTCTGGGATAGGTTTTGCTCATTATTTAAGATCTGCCCTAAGAGTTATTCCCTTTCAACTGACTTTATTTATTTCTATAACAACATGATTTTGTAATTTTGTGGCTTTTGATATTGTACCAAATGTATGGGTTTTAAAGTTAGAAAAACTAAATTTGATTCCTATATGAGGTCTTGCGGTCTTTCGAAATTTTTTCTGAGTGTCAGTTGTCACATCTGTAAAATGAGAAAAATACTGCCTAACTCATTATTTAAAAAAATATTTATTGCATGTGTATTTTATTTTAAGTACTGAACTGAGAAGTGTATTAAAAAAGAATGTGATTATATATAGCACTATCACAACAAATAATATATTAGGATCACCCAAGTTTAAATCTTTATTTTTATTTCTTCATGATAAATAACAGTTGATAAGGAAGTGGGAACTTCATGAAAATTCCAGGTTTTAGAGTCTGAATAAACGTGGTATGTGAATAGGCCTTGAGTCCCTATGCTGCAGGTGAGTTATAGTATTTGGCATCCTTTGTTCATAGTATTAATTAATAAAGATAGACACATACACAATATATTAAGTACATTTACTAATTCACAATTACCTACATATAATAGCAAACTCATCCAACCCCCTAATTTGTTAAGAATTCAGGGTGCTCAGTTGAGAGAGTGCTTGATTATCAATCCCTGGTCATGCATAAAACCATGGTGACCCATGACTATAATTCCAGAACTCTGAAAGTGCGTACAGTATTTGGATATTTCAGGTCATCCTCAGCTACATAGTGAACTTGTAGCCAGCCTGGCATTTGGGAAACCTTGTATCAAAAACAACAACTGAATAACAATAAGATAGTAAAATAAAAAAAACATATCAATTTAAAAAATTAGTTCTAAGTAGGGGCAATCTGTGTTTAAATTTGGTCGCTATCATTTTCCAGCTCTTTGTTGCATATTTACAGCATGTTAATTGCTTAGTTAACTACCTAAGTCGGACTTCATAACCCATAAAACTAAGTAAAATAATGATGTTTATGTTATAAGAATTTTGAGGCTCTAAAGTAATTTTATAAAGAAAATTATGCAGTGTAGCAAACAGTTAGTGCTCAATAGCCATTGGCAGTTGTCATCTGAAACTTAGGCTCTTTTCCAGTTGTCCTAATGGACTCTGGAGGAGCAATTTAATCTGCTTCTCCCACTCCTATTTTCCAGGATCCCAGGTGAAAGCATTGGAAAGATTTTCATTTTAATGCATCTGGGCAAACCAGTTGTTCCACATAAATCAAGTACCCCTGAGGTTCCAGTCTTTAGAAGGAATGGGAACGTGGGTAGTCCTGGCTTCACCGCCCTTGTCCGGTGTGTAGGATGTTCTGGCAGTCCATCCACTGGAGCATGAGATTTGGCCTGTGGCTGGGTTCTCTTCACTTCCTTTTGGCTAGGCTTTTGGGCCAGGAAAATGCTGTAATCATATTTCTTTTCTCCAGAAAACCCCCAGAGATAGCTTCTCTTGGACTTGAGGGTAGACATTCAAGAACTGCCTTCCTTGGATGCTTTTTAGTTGGGGTTCAGTTGTTTTCAAATCATTTGCCTTAATACACTTTGTCCAGTTCTTCAATTTTTTTCCCATTTGAACCCACAGACATGGAACACTCTTTATTTAAAATTATTCCAGAAATCTATATTTTAAAACAACTTTTAAAACCCAGTTTTGGGATATTGTACTCCTTATTTGCTTATTGACTCTTTATTTACATGCTTAATCTGAATATACCTTATATTTTAATGTATATGTGAGGGAGCAATGATAACACAAAAGGCAACAAAAACTAGTTTGGATCACAAAAATATGCAGGAAATGAACTTTAAAAGATCTATTTTTATATTTAGTTGACACAGCCATGACTTCTTAGTGAAGAAAGACAGGGTGCCCCCAGAGAGGAGCCTTCCATGTCCATGATTCACAGTCTATTTATTTGGGGCCTGGATTTCTGAATAAAATATGAAAACTGGAAGAGAAAGTGATATCCACCCAGCTCATTGTTTAGAGCCACAGGTCATGGAATAGAAATTTCTTGCCATGTTACAGGATCTAGCAATGACAGGAAGGATTGTCCAGACTCCCAGTGGATGACCCATGCAAAGACCTCTTCCTTTTAACTCCTTCAGCCAATGTGCTATCCAGAATTTTCTTTGTCTGCCTGAAGGCACACTTTGGTTCCAGTGACACAGAGATATTACAAAAGATATGTGTTTTCTCCAACATAATCCAAATTATCATCGAAGCTAGTTATCAGAGAAAAGAATGGTCCTCTCAATAGCTAAGAGAGACTTGGCATTTCTCAAAGATGGGGATTCAATCTACACAGCCCAGATATTTCCTTTCTCAATGCTATAGATAACTTTTTAACTTGCCATTCCAACCACCTTTACACATGTTGTAAATAACATGTGTATTAATAAATAACACACTGAGACTTCAGTTCCCTAAAGAATGGTCAACACCTTCTGGAAGGGGACTGATGCAAGCTCATGGATGGACACTCACAGCACTGTGGATGGAGAATTTGGCAGGTTTCCCCCTTCCTTCCTGTCTGCACTTTCCATCCTTCTTCCGCATTGTGGATTCATGTAAGGGTTCCAGCATAAACAGCATTCTTATAGAACATGTGAGAAGGATTAGTTAATTAATTAGATTGGCTCATGTCCAGGGGCATTGGAAGATCAAAATACACCTCTAGAAAAAATTCAAATCCAGTTTTTCCCTCATTCTTTGCTTTCCAGCATTCCTGCCATGTGTATAAAGAAAGGCTGATCTGTCACTTGGGATGTTTCCTGGATTTTTATAAAATGTTCTTCTATAAGAGTTTATATTCACTGAAGTCTGACATTTCCTGAATTTTCATTAATGCTGATGACAGGGAAATTATTACCTAGTGAAATTTGTAAAATCAAAGTAGCCATGGGCCTCACTTAAGGTGGTTAAGAAGTCTGGCAATATAATTGTCTTTTCTATAGATCCCTCTAGCAGAATAGTGTCAACCTCATACTAGGAATAGTTAAAGAAGGATTTCTTTAAGTAAGTAGAATATTCAAAGGTTTATAATGACATAAGATCTAACTACAGAGACATTTTCTTGGAGATTTCAAATAGCCAGTGATGTGCTCTCTTTGCCAGCACATCTACTAGAATTGAAGTGATTCAGAGAATAGCATGCTCCCTGAGCAAGGATGACAATTAAATTTATGAGATGTTCCCTCTCTCTCTCTCTCCATCTCTCTCTTCATTGTAGAATTCTTTTTATGGGATTTTTGAGTGTGTGAACAAACGGGTCTCTGTTTATATTTGTTTCTTGTGCTTTTTTCTTGCATTCTTTCCCTTCTGTTTGTGTTGTCACATTATGCTGTGTTTTTTGTTTTACCTTACTATATGTTATATAAACTATTCTCCCTTGAAAACCTATTTGTTTTTATTGAGAGACAGAAGTGTGTGATCCATATAGGAGGGGACAGGGTAAAGAACTGGGAGGCACAGAAGGAGGGAAACTGAAATCAGGATATGTTATAGAAAACAATCTATTTTCAATGAAAGTAAAATTCATCATTATGAGAGGATTTGGAAGAGCAAATCGAGAATACTTTATTAGGTATTGAATTCAATATTTTATTCATAAATTAATGGATACCTTATTCAAACATATAAAAAGTGATTTTAATATTGGAAGATTTTATTTTAATAATGTTTTTGACAAATAACATTGCTATACTAAAAAATGAAGTTCATAACTTTGGTATAAGTTTCATATGATTGCTTATTATTTAATAATTGAAATATAAAAGTTTATTTTCTTCCTTATGATGTAATTTGACAAAAATATCAAACATTAGAATATAAATATCCATAGCAATATGCATCAGCTTATATTATATAAAAATATTTCCTATAAACATCCCATCACAGAAGAAGCAGAAGAGAGCAACCTTAAAAACAACTTCATGCAGATGATAGAGAACCTAAGAGAGGAAATCAGAAAATCCTTCAGAGAAATGGAAGAAAAGCCGAACCAAAAGATGCAAGAAATCAAGGAAAGCCAAGAAAATACAATTAAACAGCTGGAGGAAACAGTTCAGGACCTGGAAACTGAATTAGAGAGAATAAAGAAATCACAAACTGAGGGAATGCTGGAAGTGGAAAAGCTGAGTAAACAATCAGGAACCTCAGATGCAAGCATAACCAATAGAATACAAGAGAAGGAAGACAGAATCTCAGACGCTGAAGACAAACTAGAGGAAATAAAATCATCAAGAAAGAAAATCTGAAGTCTAACAAAACCATACACAAAATATTCAGGAAATTTGGGACACCTTGAAAAGACCAAACCTAAGGATAATAGGTATAGAAGAAGGTGAAGAAACCCAACTCAAAGGTGCAGAAAACATATTCAACAAAATCATAGAAAAACTTTCTCAACCTAAAGAAAGACATGCCAATGAAAGTACAAGAAGTCTACAGAATGCCAAATAGAGTGGACCACTCTAAGAAAGTCCCCTCGTCACATAATAATTAAAACACCAAACGTACAGAATAAAGAAAAAAAATATTAAGAGCATCAAGGGAAAAGGACAAGTAGCATATAAAGGTAAACCTCTCAGAATTAAACCAGAATTCGCCATGGAAACTCTTAAGCTAGAAGGACCTGGATAGATATTCTACCAACTCTGAGAGAACATGGATGCCAGCCCAGACCACTATACCCAGCAAAGCTTTCAATCACTAAAAATGGAGAAAACAAGATATTCCACGACAAAACCAAATTTTAACAATATGTAACCACTAATCCAGCTCTACAGAAAGTAGTGGAAGGAAAGCTCCAACCTAAGGAAATTAACTACACTCACATAAACATAGGCAACAGATAATCCCACTCTACAAGAACACAAAATAAAAGGCAGGGTAAATCCACATACAATACCAGTACCAACAACAAACCAAAAACAAACAAGAATAAACACTGAATGGAAGTTAATTTCCCTCAATATTAATGGTCTTAACTCGCCTATAAAAAGACACAGGCTAACAGGTTGGATATAAAGACAGAACCCATCCTTCTGCTGCATACAAGAAACACACCTCGAATTCAAAGACAGACATTACCTTAGAGTAAAGGGTTGGGATAAGATACTCCAATCAAATGGACCCAAGAAACAAGCTGGGATAGCTATCCTTGTATCTAACAAGATAGACTTCAAACTAAAATCAATCAAAAGAAATGAAGAAGGTCATTTCATATTCATCACAGGAAAAATCCATTAGGAAGAAGTCTCAATTCTAAACATCTATGCCCCAAATACAAAGGCACCAACATTCGTAAAAGAAACATTATTAAAACTCAAATCACAAATAAGGCCTCAGACCGTTATAGTGGGAGACTTCAACACCCCACTCTCACCACTGGACAGGACCACCAGACAGAAAGTTAACAAAGATACAAAGGAAATAACAGAAGTTATGACCCAATTGGGATTAACAGACATTTATAGAACTTTCTTTCCAAACACAAAAGAATATACCTTCTTTTCAGCATCACATGGAACCTTCTCAAAAATCGACCACATTCTCAGCAACATAGCAAACCTCAACAGGTACAAAAAAATTGGAATAATCCCCTGTTTCTCATCAGACCACCATGCTTTAAAGTTAGAAAGCAAAAACAAATCAAAGTGCAAAAAACCTACCAACTCATGGAAATTGAACAACATGCATTTGCAATATTCCTGGGTCAAGGAAGAAATAAAGAAAGAAATTAAAGACTTCCTAGAATTCAATGAAAATGTTGACACAACATACCCAAACTTATGGGATGCTTTGAAAGCAGTACTAAGAGGAAAGTTCATAGCTCTAAGTGCTCACATGAAGAAACTAGAGAATAGACACACCAGAGATTTGACATCAAAGCTGAAAGCTCTAGAAAAAATGGAAGCAAATTCACCCCGCAGGAGCAGATGCCAGGAAATAATCAAGCTGAGGCTAGAAATCAATAAAATCGAAACAAAGAAAACAATTCAAAGAATCAATTTAACAAAGAGTTGGTTCTTCAAGAAAATCAACAAGATAGACAGTTATCCAAACTTACCAAAAGGCAGAGAGAGATCATGCAAATTAACAAAATCAGAAATGAAAAGGGGGACATAACAACGGACACTGAGGAAATCCAGAGAAACTTCAGGTCATACTTTGAAAACCTGTACTCTACAAAATTTGAAAATTTAAAGGAAATGGACAATTTTCTGGACAGGTATCACTTACCAAAATTGAATCAAGAACAGATAAGCAACTTAAACAGACCTATAACCTCTAAGGAAATAGAAGCAGGCATCAAAAGTCTCCCAAACAAAAAAAGCCTGGGGCCAGATGGATTCACTGCAGAATTCTACCAGAAATTCAAAGAAGTGCTAATACCAATACTCCTCAAGTTGTTCCACAAAATAGAAGCAGAAGGGTCGTTGTCAAACTTGTTTAATGAGGCTACAATAACCTTGATACCCAAGCCACACAAAGACACAACTAAGAAAGAGAACTACAGACCAATATCCCTCATGAACATTGATGCAAAAATTCTCAATAAAATCCTGGCAAATCGAATACACGGTCATATCAGAGGAATCATCCACCATGATCAAGTAGGCTTCATCCCAGGGATGCAAGGATGGTTCAACATATGAAAATCCATCAATGTAATCCACCATATAAAAATACTGAGGAAAAAACAACATGATTATCTCACTAGATGCCTAAGAAGCCTTTGACAAAATCCAACACCCCTTCATGATAAAGGTCTTGGAGAAATCAGGGATAACAGCAACATCCCTCAACATAATATAGGCAATATACAGCAAGCCAAAAGCCAACAATTGGAGAGAAACTCGTTCAAATTTCTCTAAAATCGGGGACAAGACAAGGCTGTCCACTATCTCCATACCTCTTCAATATTGTCCTTGAAGTCCTAGCTAGAGCAATAAGACAACAAAAGGAGATCAAGGGAATACAATTCGGAAAGGAAGAAGTCAAACTCTCACTATTTGCAGATGATATGATAGTCTACATTAGTGAACTGAAAAACTCTACCAGGGAACTCCTACAGCTGATAAACACCTTCAGCAAAGTGGTAGGATACAATATTAACTCAAAAAAATCCGTAGCCATAAAGCGTATATATATATATATATATATATATATATATACATATTATATACCAATGACATATTGGTGTCGAAAGAAATCAGAGAAACATCACCCATTACAATTGCCACAAACAACATAAAATACCTGGGGGGTAACACCAAAAATGTGAAAGACCCGTACCATAAGAATTTTGAGTCTCTAAAGAAAGAAATTAAAGAAGATACCTTCTGTTTTGCTAAATCTTTCTGCCAAAAGCTGCCTGAGCCCCACGCCACGTGTGCACTTTATGCCAGCTACCAGCCCTAGTTAGGCCCAAATGAATACACAGAAACTTGTATTAGGTTCAAAGCTGCTTGGCCAATGTCTAGGATTCTCATCTGTTAGCTCAGTCTTAACTATCATAAATCTATATATGTTATTTATCTTATCCATCCTTGCTGGTGGATCACATTGTGCGGCTGGAGCAGAAGCAGAGGGGGAAAGAGGCATACTTCTTGTTTCCACGCTTAGATATGACTCTTCTTGCCATGTCACTTCCTGCCAGGATCATCATTTGTCTACTACATTTCCCAGAATCCTCTTTGACTCCTAGTCCTTGGTTGCCATTGGCCAAACAGTATTTTATTCAACAATCAACAAGATAAACATACACAGAAGTACTTCCCCCATCAATACCCAAAAATGGAAAGATCTCCCATGCACTTGGATAGGTAGGATCAACATAGTACAAATGGCAATCTTGCCAAAAGCAATCTACAGATTCAATGCAATCCTCACCAAAATCCCAACACAATACTTCACAGACCTTGAAAGAACAATTCTCATCTTTATATGGAGAAACAAACGACCCAAGATAGCCAAAACATCCCTTTACAATAAAGGAACTTCTGGAGGCATCACCATCTCTGACTTCAAGCTGTATTACAGAGTTATAGTCCTGAAAACAGCTTGGTATTGGCACAAAAATAGACAGGTAGACCAATGGAATAAAACTGAAAACCCTGATATTAACCCACACACCTATGAACACCTGATTTTGACAAACAATCCAAATTTATATGATGAAACAAAAAGAACATCTTC